TTCATCTGCTTGAATCTTATTTCCTGTTAGTTCTGTTGTCTTCAAGGCATCATCATCTGGAAAAGTTGTTTTAAAAATGACGTTTTTTTACAAGGAAAAATGTAGCATTAGTCTGTGATGTTAAGTTTCACCTGTGCTTTTATTGTGAAATGCCGACAGACAGCGCGACGTTGACAGGAAATGACATGTCTTTGGATCAGATGATCCACCTGCTCCTGCCTCTATTTAAGCTGCCTGCTATCAGCCGTCATGCCCGATTATGTCTCTGGAGGTGAGATTATTCTCCAGCAAGATGTGAAGAGCGATTCAGCTTTACCATGGTGTTTCTGATTACCTGATCCTGGTAAGAGTGTTTCAGTGTTACCTTAGTGTTGATTACCTGATCCTGGTCTGCCTCTCAATTACCTAGCCTGCCTGTTCCCATCTGATCTGTTTTCCTAAACTGTATTTTGACTCCTGTTGGATTCTGCCTGTTTGGACTTGGAGCTGCTTCTCGCACTGACCTGGATTTCCCTTTGGAACCTCTTCAGACTTCTGTTCTCCTTTGTTCTGAATTCTGAGCACGTCCTCAACTCCGGCTTTGGCTTCGCCCTCTGCTTGAATCTTATGTCCTGCCAGTTCTGAAGTCTTCAAGGCGTCAGCATCTGGAAAAGTCGTTTTAAAAATGAAGGTCTCCCCAAGGTGATTTTTGAAAATCAAGGTTTTTTACAAGGAAAAATTTAGCATTAGTCTGTGATGTTAAGTTTCATCTGTGCTGTTATGGTGAAATGCCGATAGACAGCGAGACCCTGACAGGAAATGACATGGGGTTGCCAGGAGTAACAGCAGGTCAAAAGCAAAGGATTTGGAAGGCTGGTGATTTACTAAATATTAAACAATCCTTCTAGCCACTAAATAACGTAAACAAACCTACTGTTATAGTCAATGCCAGCACAGGAATGACATGTGATGTTATGCAATAACTTTATATCAGGAAACAAGCGTAGCACTAACATCTGCAGGGATGGTGATGTGTTTGGCCATAATTAAAAATAATTCTATCTTAAAAACCAAACTAGCAAAATTATAGTTTCACCTGCACAAATGAAGTAGCACTGAAAAAGTAGGCTAGATAATTTTGATTCAATCATGGGTGACCTTTGGAAAATTATCTATAATATTTATGAAACAATGCAGCACATGTGATCTTTTTTATTTATTCTTTTTTTTTCTTCATTTTACAAATGAACATTTAAAATGCTCATTTTAAAACCTGTATTGAAGAATCAATAACCATTCAGTCTATTTTCAGATTTTTTTTTTACATCAGTGGGGTGTCAGCTTCATGAAGCTGAAGCTGCAAGACATCTACTCCAGCCGCCTCACCCGCAAAGCCCTCACAATTTTGAAGGATGACAC